TGGGTATTACAATTCCAATAATGGTACCAAACTCCTCCTTTCATGACAAAGTAAGTTCACTTATACTCTAAAAGAAATGGAGTTCACGACTCCAAGACCAGCTATAGGAACATCCTTCCTTTTTCACCACCTAGTCCCTCCTCTATGAGTCTAAGCGTCTAGTCGAGTATAAAAATAGCTTCAAAATGAGTGTTCATAGCAAATACATAACATTAGACTCATATGTGATACCCTTCCTCCTTAAGAATGATATGACCTTGCAACATATCATAACATCCAACAATATATTGTATTTCAATCATATGAGAAACACCTAATTGAAACATTTACCTCAATCACATGATTAACCTCCTCATCAAATCACATATCCACAAAACCTTCATTTTCACAAGTATTCTTTGTATTTCAAGATTGAACAAAACCCACAAATAAGTACAAAACAACCCACCAATAAATCAAATAGAACAATTCTTCACAAAAGACGAACTTAAAATGGAACAATCGTAAGAGACATATTTTTCTAACTATATACCTCAAATCAAAGATCTCAATGGTCAAAGCGAAAAATCATATATCTAGGACCTACTATCAAAATTTCAATTCGATAAGACAGTTAACAAAGCAGGAATCCAAATCTTATTAAGAGGACTCAGTGTAGGGAAACACTAGTACAAAAACAATGTATAACCTCACGCGTTCAACGTCCAATCACTACATAGCCAATGTTAAAAATGAGCGGTGGCATTTTGTAAATAAATGCAATTATTAAACGTCGTTTAGAATTGTAATTCGACGTAAAAGGATATAAAACGTCGAATGCCCTTTAAATTCGACGTCAAAAGGTTAGTGAATTCAATAAAAAATTGAGTGGAAGATTGAAAATTCATTCACTTTATCTTAGCGCGTGATACCCTCTTCTCTTCTCAAACTTCTCTCGAACGAAGTTTGACGAGCATCACATGTAATCTTTCTTTCATTTGATACAAATGCATGTTAATGTATGATTTTTATTTGTTTTAACCGATTATTTTTGTGCTCTTGTCCTTCATAGGCGCATTCTTCTTTCTCTCTCACTGGTGACAAACTTTATTTCGATGAACCCACATTTTGAAGGTTAGTTTTCGTTTTCGTTTTGAAGAACTTATGTGTTGAACTTGTTTGTTGTTCTTTTTGTTGAACTTATTTGTTGTTGTTGTTTGGTTAAACTTGTTTGTTGTTGTTTGATTGAACTTGTTTGTTGTTGGTTATTATTGTTTGTTGTTGATACTACACTACACGTTCACAGTTCATGTTTTATAAAATACCAAAAACTAAAATTTGTTATTTTTTTGCTTTTCAGGTTTCGTAGAGTTGTAAAAAAGGATCATAATTAATTAAAAAAATTGATTAACGTCGAATATTGACAAAATTTGACATTAACATTAACGTCGTATATTGAGAAAAATCAACTTTAATTTAACGTCAAATTAAAATTTGATGTCAATTTAACGTCTCCTGATAAGACGTCATTCGCGATTTCACCGTTAAAAGCCCAAAATATTGGACGTTGTACGCGATTTTTATACTAGTGAAATCCAACTAGCCCAACAAGAAGATTCTGCCAAAATCAATTTTGGCAGTCAGTTAGTGAGCTATTTGCTCGCCCAACGAGTCTACATAACGTAAAAACTCAAATTCTGCAATATGACAATGCCCAACACTACCAGATTTTACAACATAGGATTCCAACATTTCCAATTTGCATGTGATAATGGGAAATTTTGAACTCCTTCATCTCGTAAATTCAATTGACCCCATATCAACATATCAATTCAATCATACAATTTCAATTCATTCTTAAATCAACTGGCTTACATGAAATTTTATTACAAGAATCATAAAGTAATAAATCAACTTCCCTAACCTCATGGTATCCTTATGTTCCTCAACAACTTTTGTAGCTTTTCACTCACTAAAATAAACCTATTTACACCTATAAGAGGATCAAATTAATCATCTAAAGGCATGCACTAGTAAAAAAACTATTTTTAAACTCATATCATAGGCTTCAGTTTTGTAAAAACCGAAGCATATAAAACGTAGTAGCATTTTCATAGTTATGGCGAACTTATATGCTTCGGTTGTTTGCAGACAGAGGAAATGGGACCGTTCGGCTTCGGTTGTGCTATGAACCGAGGCAGTATGCCCTGCCAGACAGGTGACCTTTTCTGGAACCGAACGACCTAAGCACATTTTGTCTACTAATATGCCTCGGTTGTCTAGGGACAAAGGCAATAGGACCATTCGACTTCGGTTATGATAGGAACCGAGGCAATATTACCTGCCAAACAGGTGACCTTTTATGAAACCAAGCAGTCCAAACACATTTTTTCCACTAATATGCCTCGGTTTTTTGGGGACAGAGGCAATAAGACTGTTCGGCTTCGGTTATGCTATGAATCAAAGCAGTATGTCCTCCCTATATGCCTCGGTTTAGACGCGAAGCAAGGCCTTATAGTCCAGTTCGGATTCGATTTTTTACTTAACCAAGGTAATTGCGGAAAAACTGCCTATAGACAAAAGTAATCGTTGTTGTTTTTCCTTACTGCACTAGTGATGATTTGATTCATCAACACACATAGAGTTCATAAGAGAAAAAAAAAATTCCAATCCAACTCTAAGCAATTCAAGAAAACAAATTAACAAATTATATTTTATATACATGGAGGAAAGAAACTTACTCTATTTTGAATTTTGATCGTTGAAAATAATAGGACTTTTTGCGGAGATTCCAACTGCAGTCTTTAATAAAAAGAAAGATGAGATTTGAATGAAAAATTAAAGAGGGAAGATAGAACAAATTTTTTTTTTTTAAAAAAAGAGATTTTTATAGAAAGAGAAAATTATGTGTTGGGTTATTTGACAAAAGGCTTACATACATTTTTGTCTATTAAAAAATCTCACAAATACTATCTTTTTTTTCTATAAATAAAAATTTAATTTATATAATAAAACACTTAATTATATTCTTTTATATCATCAAATATTTATTAGCTAGTTTGTAAACTAAATTTATAAATTAAAAGTTGATAAACTAACCATTAACTTATTAACTGATTGCGATAATCAAACTAAAAACAAATTATTTTAGACAATTTTCGTACAACATGCTACTTTTGTAATCACACAATACAAGACATTTTCTTCATGTACCTTCATAAGTTTCTTCCTTCACTCTATATAAAAAAAATCTCTTTGCATTATGAAATTCAGAAATAAAAATTACTTTTTGAATTGTGTAATTTCAAATTGCATAATTTAAAAAACATTTTTAGTTTTTTGATTATATAATTCGAAACTTATTTTAAGAAAAAAAAATCACTTTTTGATTATACTGAAAGTTATTTTAACTTTCTGAAAATCTTTTAATTTTCAAATTGCACAATACGAAAAGCATTGTCTAACTTTCAAATTATATAATAAAAAAAATAATGAAAAAGTTCTTTTTAGATCGAAGTACAGGAAGAAAGTAATGGAGGTGCAGATAGAAATTGTCATCACACAATCTAACCCCACTAGTTACACATGCTACATTTCACCATCCATTTTTATATTTTATACAATAAATTGTTTTAATTAATTATTCCATGACCATTTTAAGTTGTTATCTTTAAAATTACACTATTACGTATTTCTTATTCCATATAAATATATATATATATATTCATAAAAAATGACTGAATTTTACGTGTTTCCTGTATTTCTTTTAAGCCTCTTCACATTTGAAAACTAATTTTTTTATTTTATTCCTTATATTATACAACAATACTTAACTGCCTCTTTATTGAACACAAAGTAAATTGATACTTTCAAGTGAAAATATTAGTATTGTGATATAATGTTGGTATGTGACACTTCAAAATACCTGTTAAGGTATGTAAATAGATGTTATTTATCTATTTTTAAATTAATAATGAGATTAAAAATAATTATTGAAATTTTGGAGGGATGAAAATTAGAAGAAAAAAAATGTTTATAAGAAAGTAAAACGAAAACTCATATATTTTATAAGTACAAAAACCAACTATTTCGGATTTATATGGATAAAAACGAATAAAAAAAGTGTATGGACTTCTTTTATGGTTAGCGACATAAGTGAAAAAATATAATTAAATTTAGTGTTTGTTTTAAACTCTAATTATTTGACCATGTATTTAAGTTACACGTGTGTGTGTGTGTGTGTAATGCATGAGTTTGAGTTAGTTTTGGATGGAGTATAATTGTTAGATTTGCAGGTGAGAGGTGAAAATGTATATTCTGGGTAGAGCATATAGAAAAATTAGTAGGCCCTTTCTTTGTTCGGCTGAAATAGAAAACAAAACTAACAAAGGGCTGTCTCAAAAATTTTAGGAGGTGCAATTAGTAACAATATTTATCCTTTTTTTCAATAAAAACATCACTTTTATCTTATTTTGTATTCATTTTCTATTTTAAGTATTTGCACAGAAAGAAAATTAAAAGAAAGGAGCATAATTTCCTGTACGAAATGTTTAAATACAGAAAACAAATTAGAAATATTATGACAATTCTATGATCAAAAGTATAAACAATATACCTTTTGTTACAATTAACAGGCCACTAACTTTTCTTTTCCCTCAGTATTCTGCTCCCTAAATTTTTTATACATCTATCTTTTACTTTCATGTTCTTCTACCCTCTTCCTTCTCTCCCCATTCTCTTTCAGGTTTAAGGTTTAAGCTAAAAAGTTTAAAAAAGAAAAAACTTTCAAACAGCTTTTACTTTATTTAAAAAAATTATTTTTTTTTAAATTAAACAAATTTAACATATACGAAACATGACTCAACCTGTACGAAGCAAAGCTTAAATTTTGGGACTAAGACCAATCTCTCCGTTTGATTTGTTTAACTCAGCATCTTTTAGACGTTATTTCAAAAGCCGATAGCTTAAAAGATTCAAAATTTGACATATCTCAGTAGAGTTATATGCTTAAAATTTGAAGATGTTCACTCTTACACATTTGTGCAGAGAGATTGAAGGTGTGCTCAAATTGACTACTCCCCGTAACAAAGTGTGTCAATATTTACATGGATGAAGATTCTAAGAGCTGAATTTTATGAATGTAATTGATAACAATCAAGCCTCCTACGACATTATGGCCATAATCATCGTAGCAACTACTAAGCTTGATTGCATGTGTTTCATCCTATCTATATATATTTGAATGCTATTGTGAAGTTCTAACTGGAACTGGATGAGAGGAAGCTCATGCAGATTGGTGGACGAACTTTTAACAAAGCTAGAATGGATGAAGGGAGAATCCACAATCCATCTCCACAAATCAAACCAGAAGCAGCAGCAGGAACCATCAAACTTGCTTCACTTTTGTTTAGTTTGTGCCACATAAACACAACCAAACTACCCATGCACATGTCAATGGCAAAGTAACCACCAACTAGGAAAGGAACGGCCATTGCCATTGGAAGTGGAATCCAATTCCCAACCTTTTTGGGGCCAAGATCTCTGACCAAGTTGGCTACTATGGCAAATGCAAAAAATCCATAGCAGAGTTGCAGGCAGTGCCGAGGAAGGGCAGAAAAGCCTTCCACACCAAGAATTGCCATGTTTCTATAAATGATTGCATATGGTGCCTTGTAATCCCCATTTGGGTTTCCCACATCAAAAGCCTTGTAGAAAAGGAAGAATGTGAGAGGAGCAACAACACAGCCTATTGCTGTCCCAATTGCTTGGCTTAGAAGCATTGAACGAGGGGAAGTGAAAGTGAGATGGCCAGTCTTGAAATCATGCATCAAATCAGATGAAATGGAGACAATGGATTTTATCAGGCCACACCCCACAAGTCCAGCAACTACACCGTCACTTTTTCCTGCCAAGGCTGCAAGCACAAAGAGAGCCACTTTCCCATAGTTATATGCCATGTTCATGTCTGTTAAGCCCGCACCATAAGCATTGCAGAAGCCCAGAGAGGGTGCGAAAAGATATGCAAACACCACGTAATACCACTTCAACTGGGGGAACATCAAAGGGATCACAATAATAGAAACGATGGAGAACAATATGTACCCAGCACATGCTAACCATATGGGAATGCTCTCTCTTGCAAACACCTCATTCCTTCTAAGATCATCAATAGGGAGCGGTTTCTGGTTATCTGAAACTGCAGAGCCAAAAATATTAGATTTTCAAAACGCAGATACAAGACTCACCGATATCATGAGTCACTCCTTATGGAAAATTCCTAGTTGGCTAAATGATAAATGCAGCTTTACACCAAATGTAAAAGCCTACATCACATGCATAGACACAACAGAAAAAGTGTAAATATTTGTTCATATGCCTTTGATTATGTCACTCTTTTTTCTTTTTGCCGGTGGTCCGCTGATGAAAGCAATTGTTTTTACATGAGAAAACGCTGTGATTAGTAAAACTTGAGAATATATTGAGGATTGACTTACAGCCTTGGAAATTACTTACATGTATTAAGGTTCTTCCTCTTCACGGAGGCGTGGATATTCGTGGCAGTGAAATAGAGGACTTTGACAAAATTGTAAAGCCCATCACCAAGAATCAATGCAATGGAAATAAAAACCTGAAGCAACAAAATGAAAAAAAGTCAAAATAAAAATCAAGGCTTCAAAAATTTAATGAACTAAAATAAGCAGTGTAGCTTTGATACAAATTCTAGCAAAATTTAGACCTTATAGCCATTAAGACTTTTCATGCTACTTTCTGGTATACTTGCGGGAAACCATTCTCCTTTTAGTCCCCGGATTAACGGCCACATAATGCCCCATGAAATCACAGCACCCAGAAGCAAGGATAAATTTACAAGATGGGAACAGATCATTCCTGCTCCGACATAAGTCATGCTGAAATCAAAATAGAATCTGCCAAGTTGAAGCGCTTTAATCAGAAACCACGAGCAATTATTTCAGTGTTCAGAGACTATTCCTACTTGAATAAAGACAAAGGAGCATACGAATTTTTCCATGCTTTCAATCCAAAAGTGGGAAACTGAACAAATCCACAACTATCTCCACCCGTATAAAACCATTGAAAGAAAGCCCAGAAGAAACTGGCTGAGAAGAATTTCAAGAAACCATGAACCTGCTTTCTGCAAAAGTTGAATTGGTTGAGCTCTAATAAACATTCACCTGGTCTAACTTGTAAATACCAAAAACTTTAGTAGTAGGGCAAAACAAAACATGTTCATACTTGGCCATCGCATCTCCTTTAGGAGTATGGAACCCGTTGATAAGAACAGCAGTAGCAGTTCCACTTGGATAAGTTAATTTGTAGTCTATTATCATAATCTGTTAAATTACACAAACTTCATCAGCACCTCCACTCAACTCAAGCAGAACCAAAATCCTTAAAAGTGAGACCGTCACTTCTAAATGACAGTACAAGACAAATAAACATACAAAAGAACAACATCTGGACAACTGCTTGCATTAAATGACTATGTGAAACATCATATAACTCATGACTAAATGAAATACCTTTCTAATGGGAACCAACGCCAACAACCCAACAAAGCTGGTGACAAAGAGAAAGCCTGTCATCCATCCAATCCCAGGCTCCTTAGTACTCGAAGGATTGTTCCCCTCTGTATCAAACCCTGCTTGCTCATATGTCTTCCTATTCAAACCCAAGAGGTAAGACCCAAAACCACCTACAGTTATACAAGTTCAGTTCAATACACACACTATCATTTACACAAACACAAGTTAAAAGTTCAATTGAAAAAGACCCACCCACCTCCAACCGCGATGCTATAGCAAGCGACTGCACAAGTCTGGATTACGGTATTCTCCTGTCTAGTGAATGGTGTTGAAACAATATTGGCCTTTGCAAGAATCTTAGTCCAAGCTCTAATGAACACAAAACCAAGCAGAGCAGCCGAGACATTGAGATTCGGGACTAACCCAGTTGTGAGGTTCAACTTCATCACAATCACACTATAAATTGTTCCAATCAGAAAGCTAGCTACCAGTCCCCGAATTGTAATCTGTCTTGGCCATGGTGCTATTCTACTCACGTCATCAGGCACAACCGGAGCCTCTTCAATATCTTCTCTTCCGAGATTCTCAATCTCCTTGAGTTCTTCGTTGCTTGTTGCATTAGTACCCATTGGATTCATCAAATCCTAAACCCTGATTGAATGATCAGTCACCACAGAAATGAAAACGGGACAACGGGCACTCAATCAGAGGGGGGGAGAGAGAGAGAGAGGATAAAAGCAATATTCAATGATTGCTTAACAAACCAGGTTTGGGGACAACATATAAAGAAACAAGATTTATTACAGGTTCGCGATTCCGACAAAACAATAGAGTAATATCAGAAAAATAATTTTAAAACAGTTTACAACAACAAAAATATAGAAAGAAAAGTGGAAAAGTTTTGAATAAGAAAACAACAGAAGAAAATGAATCAGAATCGGACTCGAGGGTTCGAATATCTGATGCCACGTAAGAAAAAAAGCAGTGATGAGTGAAAGATGAAACAGGGTCAAACAAGTTGTTACCTCACTACTCAGTTGCGTATAGAAATTCCAATGATGGAGAATTGAATCTCTGGGTGGTGGTGACAGGGACCAGTGCTTGAATTGAATTGTGAAACGGAGAGAATAACTAAGCGCGTGGAAAGAAAGCCACAGAAACGACGACGCAGAAGAGAGGTAGAAAAGAGTGGAGGGAGGTAAAGATTGAGAGGGGAAACGCGGAATTTATAATTGTCATTGGAACCAAAAGCTAGCTAACCTTAGAAGAAACTTTGGGTCTGTGTGGCTGCATGTAGTAGTACAACGTAGTGGGTGTTGTACTGCAAATGATGTTTCTGTGAAGAAACAATTATTTAGGTAACGATACTGTCACAACATTTTTTTGATAATATTTTAAAATTATTTATGTGTTATTCTGTGGTTGATCTAAAATTACTCTCCAATCAATAATAATAATCATAAATACTAACATAAACCAATCACATAATGATTCGTAAAAGATGTTAAAATGTTGTAAAAAAAAATGTTTTCAAAGTATTATTATCTTAATGATTTTGTACTATAAACTTGTGAAAAGTCTTTGAAGAGATTTTTGTACTTTCCAAATAAGCTTGTAAGCTCCACACACAAATAAAAACAGTTGTCGTTGACTTGGATGCAGAGTGGGAGCTGTTGAAAGTGGGTGGCTGGTCTTAGTTTCATCAGTTTCTGGCATGAAAGTAATCAAAAGCGTATGTGTTGTTGGGCTTCGTGTGAACGATGGCGTGTGCCACAAACATGTTCGGAGCGTGGAATAATTTACGAATGTGGCAGTGGCTGTGGAGTGAGGGAGACACACTCCTTCCTTGAAAGGTCAACCAAACGCCAATTAATTACCCACTCAAATCAAAAAAATTACATCTACTTTTTAAAAAAAAAGTTACAAAAAACAATATTAATTTAAAAGTCAAATCTAACGTTTAATTATATTGTTTTTTCAGCATTATTGTAATATGTAATTACTTGTTAGAAATTAAAAACTGAAAGTTCAATTAGTGTGATCAATTAAATCTCATATAAGAGATACTAAGTTTAGTTAAACTTAGTTAAATAAAAATTAAAATAAGTTATTAGAAAAATAATTCTTCACATTCTGGTGACCACAATTCACTTAGTTAAACATACTTCTCGCTTTTTAACATGAGAATAAAAATACATAAAGACCACAATTCTATTTTTTTAAAATAAAAGATACCTTGTAGTTTTTTTTTTTTATAAAAAAGATAGTGAATAAAAAAAACAAAAAAATTCCATGGAAAGGATGGGTGGTGTGGTGGTAAGAGTACATGCGGTCAAGAGATAAGAAAATGAAAGCTGGGCCCACATGCTGCCAAGGGAGATAATTTTAATGAAGCCTTTCTTGATGCCGAAAATTTGGAAAATGTTAAATCATTTTTAAATTAAGTATTTTTATTTTATATTCATTCTTCAATTTATCCTTATTATAATTTCCATAACGTTCTTTTAATTTTGTATAAATATAATGTAAATTTAAAACTTTTCAAACTCTTTATTCCAAAATTTAATGAGTTGTGACTTTGTTGTAATGGAAAGTAAATCTTTTCCTTGAAATTAATATATAACATTATTTTAATTTCTTGAAAAAGGTTTATAAATTATAATAATTACTTTAAAATATATTAAATGTTCTTTTAAGAAAACGTCTATAGTAGTCCTATTCATGAAGATTAAAATTGTTTGTCTTCTTCAAACAGAGAGATGGTTTTGCTAAAAACAGCAAAATATATTATTAATTAATTAATGCATTAAAAAGGAAAATTTTAATCATTTTAGAATTTTAGAATTTTATTTTTGCATATTTGAAGAATAAGAAAAGATAAGATAAAGGTAAAAATTAAATTTTATTATTTAAACAAAGAAAGTAAATAATTTTCGAATCTTTAAATAAAATAAGAAGTATTAAATGTTATATTACATTTTGAATTTAATATAATTAAAGCTAAATATGGGTACACTTATCTTTTTCGTAATTTATCTTGGTCACCTTCATATTTGTTATCTTTCCCGTGCAAGTGTATGAAAGTTTGTCAGAAAATAAATATACATATTCCTAAATTTAAATAAAGAACTATAAAGATTTTTTTTTTAAGTATAAAGAATTTGTTTTTTCTATTAAAAATTGTCTGTGACACGCTAGCCCAATAGATTTAAATGAGAAATTGGGAAGCTAGTTATTTTATTTAAATTAAACTTATTTTTTTCTAAAAAAATAATATCAATCTAAGTACCAATATAACTTAAAAAGTTATTCTTTTATAAAAAATTTTAATATAAAAATTATTTTTAAAATAACGTTTTCTAGTATAAATCATAATACACAAATATACAGACACACTAAAATAAGGGAAAAAAAAAGGAGAAAAATGTTACAACTTTGTTTTAAACAATGGTTGTTTTGTTTTACACAATGGTTGTTGTTATAAAATATGGCGGATACCTTCAACAAATTTGGATTAGGGCACCCAATTCATATTGTCCTTATTTTGTCTCCTATTTTTTAATTTAATTTTTAAATCAATTTACAATATTTAATGTAATATCTTATTTTAATAGTATAAAATTATTAAAATAAAACATCATACACATGATAACTTATAAGAAAATTGACGCTTCTAAAAAAGAAGATTCCACACTTGAAAACAAACCTATCTATGTTATTATTTCATCTTTTCTTCAGGCTGAAAGAATTAGAAGATGTCCAAAATTCACACAAATTAAGGTGATTATTACAAAAGATAAAAACATACACAAACAAACAAAGACATAAACAAGAATAAGCTACTGATCCAAACTATTAAATGCAACATTCCATTTTAGTAGAATAAAACTACCAAAATAAAATACTACATGGATGATAACTTACTAGAAAACTACAAAGTACTAGAACAAAAGATTCTACCCTTGAAGAATAAAACTCTCTATTCGGTTGCTTCTCTCTCAACACCGATTAAAAGATGTCATCCATATACATACACACACACACACATATATATATATATATGTGTGTGTATATACATATATATGTGTATGTATACATATATATGTGTATGTATACATATATATGTGTATGTATACATATATAATATATATATATATATATATATAGATACATATATGAGATAATTTTATGGAAGCCTTTCTTGATGCCGCAAAAAAATTTGTGGAAAATGTTGAAATCATTTTTTAAATTAAGTTTTTATTTTATATTCATTCTTCAATTTTTATACTTATTATAATTCGTCGTAAGGTTTTAATTTTGTATAAATATAATGTAAATTTAAAACTTTTCAAACTCTTTATTCCAAAATTTAATGAGTTGTGACTTTGTTGTAATGGAAAGTAAATCTTTTCCTTGAAATTAATATATAACATTATTTTAATTTCTTGAAAAAGGTTTATAAATTATAATAATTACTTTAAAATATATTAAATGTTCTTTTAAGAAAACGTCTATAGTAGTCCTATTCATGAAGATTAAAATTGTTTGTCTTCTTCAAACAGAGAGATGGTTTTGCTAAAAACAGCAAAATATATTATTAATTAATTAATGCATTAAAAAGGAAAATTTTAATCATTTTAGAATTTTAGAATTTTATTTTTGCATATTTGAAGAATAAGAAAAGATAAGATAAAGGTAAAAATTAAATTTTATTATTTAAACAAAGAAAGTAAATAATTTTCGAATCTTTAAATAAAATAAGAAGTATTAAATGTTATATTACATTTGAATTTAATATAATTAAAGCTAAATATGGGTACACTTATCTTTTTCGTAATTTATCTGGTCATTCCATTTTTGTTATCTTTCCCGTGCAAGTGTATGAAAGTTTGTCAGAAAATAAATATACATATTCCTAAATTAAATAAAGAACTATAAAGATTTTTTTTTTAAGTATAAAGAATTTGTTTTTTCTATTAAAAATTGTCTGTGACACGCTAGCCCAATAGATTTAAATGAGAAATTGGGAAGCTAGTTATTTTATTTAAATTAAACTTATTTTTTTCTAAAAAAATAATATCAATCTAAGTACCAATATAACTTAAAAAGTTATTCTTTTATAAAAAATTTTAATATAAAAATTATTTTTAAAATAACGTTTTCTAGTATAAATCATAATACACAAATATACAGACACACTAAAATAAGGGAAAAAAAAAGAGAAAAATGTTACAACTTTGTTTTAAACAATGGTTGTTTTGTTTTACACAATGGTTGTTGTTATAAAATATGGCGGATACCTTCAACAAATTTGGATTAGGGCACCCAATTCATATTGTCCTTATTTTGTCTCCTATTTTTTAATTTAATTTTTAAATCAATTTACAATATTTAATGTATATCTTATTTTAATAGTATAAAATTATTAAAATAAAACATCATACACATGATAACTTATAAGAAAATTGACGCTTCTAAAAAAGAAGATTCCACACTTGAAAACAAACCTATCTATGTTATTATTTCATCTTTTCTTCAGGCTGAAAGAATTAGAAGATGTCCAAAATTCACACAAATTAAGGTGATTATTACAAAAGATAAAAACATACACAAACAAACAAAGACATAAACAAGAATAAGCTACTGATCCAAACTATTAAATGCAACATTCCATTTTAGTAGAATAAAACTACCAAAATAAAATACTACATGGATGATAACTTACTAGAAAACTACAAAGTACTAGAACAAAAGATTCTACCCTTGAAGAAGAGAATAAACTCTCTATTCGGTTGCTTCTCTCTCAACACCGATTAAAAGATGTCATCCATATACATACACACACACACACATCACAAACATATAAGATAATAGATGATGTGTGTATGCGTAATATAGATATATCCTATGTTTAGTATAATATATACGTATTAGTAATAACATATATATGTTGTATGGATACCACTTATATAAATATATATATATATATAAGAACATTATATATAGGATATATGTCAGAAATAGATATTGTATATACGGCATACGATAATCTATATAGGTATACATATATAGATCTATAGACGATTGTTATAATGTATATACTATATATATATATGAGTATATATACAGTAAGATATAGAGACATAGATAAACACTATATATAGTAAAACAAGTTATAGATGTTATAATATAACTAATATGTTATTATACTATACATTATAATGTATATATATACATATTTATGTATTATTAGATGTATATAATGTTA